ATTATATTGCATTTATTAGATTTACAAAGCAACACCTTGCCTTGTCTAATTTAAAAAAGATAAGCGTGTCTGGATCAGTTTAATACTTGGATGAGGACCCATTATTATCATGTCTTATGATAATTGCACTTACAAAAGAATTTTTCAAATTGAAATACATAATAAATGCAATATAATAACTATAATATACTATAATTATAATAACTATGCTATGCTATGCTATGCTCTTAAACTTAAACATGTAATATATAATCTATTAATTATAATTTATGTTTCTTTCTCAATAGGTTCACCAACAAAATTGTAACTTTCAAAAATGGAATTTTGTATAGGAAGAAACAGATAAATTGGAATTAAAGGTGTGAATATTTTCTTCTCTTCCCTTCTCTTTGGAGGTGTCTGCTTTTAAGGAAGATATGTTGTTTCAGAAGATCCAGAGAGAGAATCGTGAAATTTATTTCATTTATTCAGTCCATGGAATTGTAATATACTTCTTCAAGGCAGCAAATTTCCACAAAGTTGTGTGATGGATATAGCAGTGAATCTCTGTGCCTGGAAACCTCACATTGTGGATTAGTCTGCTATCAATTCCATTTCAGGGACAGGATTGGATGTGATGGATTTATCTTCAGATATGAGTAGGCATGGAAGAAATCCATTCAGTCACAAGCTGGAAGATCAGAAGAAGGTAAGGCTATTTTTGATCGTATATTTTTCTTCTATTTCAATATTATTTTACAAAATTTATTATCATTTACAAGATATTCTGCAAATATGCTATTATGTACTATATGATTTTTACTCCACAGCAATTGTTTATAGAACTAATTTGATTACTACCTGACTTCCAAAGAATCTTGAAATTATTGAGCAAATATGATTGGCAAAACATTTACTCTTCTGCCATTTCTGACTCTGTGCCAAGTGTTTCTGTAATAATGACTATTATCAACTTTCAGGCTTAGCTTGTTTGAATGTTCAATAACTTTCTGGGAAAATAAATCCTTCCCCATGGCTTCTAATATTGATTTATGAAAAGAACATCACCATGTATTAATTAATATTATGTATAGAATGAGAAAATGTTGTTGAATATGCATGTTTTAGAAATTATAATTTATTTGGGTTGAATATTAGAGTTATTTATTTAATACAGATTCTTTTAAATTTTTCCTATGAATGCATAAGCTGAATAAAAAAATATTTCCATTTCTTTTAAAGATTTCATTTGCAGATGAACAAGCTTGCCTATGCAAGGTTTAAAAGTTCATCTCTCTGAATAGATGGTTATTTCTATAATTCTTTCTGCACCGAGATGTCTGATGACAAATTTTAATTGGAACTGATTGAAATGCATGTTCAACCATGTAAATTAAATTAAATGAATTAATGAATAAATAAATAAATAAATCCTACAAATTTCTTGATCAGGAATCTTATTAAAGTTTCTAGTTGCAAGGAAAGTTTATACATGCACTTTGATACGTTGTGATACATTTGATGTATGATACGTTCTATATGTTCTTTGATACGTTCTATAGAAATACGATGTATTTCTATAGAACTTAACTTTCAATTAACATAAACAGTTGTGTACATAACAAAATATAAATGTTACATTTAAATTATCACACCTAGTACATTTTTAACTGTTAGATGTTCAAAATTGAATGTTTGCTAGAAAGTTTATCCAGAAAGTGGCTGCTTATTACGGTACTAGTGATTTGGGTTGAAGTCATGTATTCAAACTACTTACAGTATATCACATGGAGATCAGTGCATACTTAATCAGTCTATGTGTGAAATAGGCAGCTTCATTATGATTCATTCTCAACTTCTGTCTATCACCTACTCACTTAATTGCAATGATAAACTGAATGGACCAAACACAGATTTTTAGGATTACTTTGTCAATTCACTTTGGAACTCAATGTGATTGCTTTGAATGGTAACAGCTTTCTTTGGCAGAAATCTTTCCAAGCTGTTGGCTGACATTCTAATGGCAAAAACTGAATGTAGTTCCTTTTGCAATAGAAATCATTACTTTACCTCTGAATTTTAAAACAATGATAATTTCAAGATAATAAGTATGTATTGATATAAACAGAACATTTTCTTAATAATTTTCCTAAATTATATAAAACAAAAACTTCTGAGAAATTGTAGGTGACAGAATATTAAGCATATATGTTGTCCAGTTTAGCCCATTTATTATTAAACAGGGACTATAGGTTGATCCTATCCTTTTCCCCAACCTCAATGTTATATACTCCAGCAGGAATATGTAAATTGTAGAATTGTGGTTGCTTTTCAAAGATTTTTTAAAAGTTTATCTACAGTGTTTCACTATTTTGTTGGCATTGTTTTATTATTGCTTTGTGTTTCCAAGCATTAGATATATGAAAATTTGTTTTATTGTTTTATTGGATTGCTGAAGGCTTTCCATGAGATGGGCAATCATAATAAACAAAAATAATGTTTAAGAAAGATATTGTTCTACTGTTGGAATGTGATAGACTACCACCCATTTGTCTCCCTGTGTGTATTCCTATGGATTTTATGGATTTCAGTATTACTATACAGTTTAAATAATCTAGTTTGAATTTAAGTACAAGTTGATAAAACTGGAGTTATTTCTTTTACTGAGTAAGATACAACTGATGGTGTATCGTCCTTCCAGACAAGGTGTGTGTGTGTGTGTGTGTGTGTTTCTCCAGTGAGATTTATTTGATTTGCTAATATTGATTTGTTTGAAGATAATGCAATGTCCAAGGGGTTGTACAAACCATTTGAAGAAACACTTGGCCAAGGGCATTCCTTGCCTGGAAAAATGCAAGTAGCTACATCTTCTTGTAAGCTCGGAGGTCTTCCCAGGTTGTTATTATTTATCTATTTCTCTACTGCCTTTCTTATGTTAAAAAAATAGTTCAAGGCAGCAAACATGCATAATATCCCTTCCTCTTCCTATTTTTCCCACAACAGCAATCCTGTGAGATATTGGGCTGAGAGAGAATGACTTGCCCAAGGTCAATTAGCTGGTTAAAGTGGGACTAGAATTCACAGTCTCCTGGTTTCTTTGCATCCATATGCATTAGCAAAGCACTTTGCTTTGTGAAGATAACCTGGGAAAGCTTTTGAAGCAACTGTCTTAAGCTATCTAGAGATGTAGTTGCCTCAGTGCTTCATATGATCACTTTGCATGGCCCTCTGAAATGTTTTGCAAAGCCTTAATATTAAGTCGTATTTCAGACTTCAGAGAATATTGCATCCTATGAACAGGTAAGGAAAGCTTCCTAGAGTTGTTAAGAAACTGCTACAATCACTGACAAACTAAAATAGATGTGCAAACAAATTTAGCTAATACAAGATTTTAGCTCTATATGTATTTTCTCTAAGCCTGTCTGACTACTGGAAGAAAAACAATGTGTTTTCCCCCACCCATTATGAGAACAAGAGAAGGCAGCTTTCAGAGAATATTTAAAGATATTAAAACTGTAAGATGCTGCAGAAATCATACAAAACATTTGCCTATTACAAAGACATATTTCAGAAAATATCTTCCAACTTGAGATGCTATATTGAATGCAATTTTGACAAACACCTAGTCCATTTCACCATCAAGCACACATGAATCAGTGTTTTTATTGGATCCAGCAGTTTTTTTCAAAGAATTTTTTTTTATTTTTGAATAAACACAGACAAAATACACACACACAAAAGCGCAAAACCATTTTCCATTACAAATTTTAGAAAGTGTGTCGATTGGTTACAAAAACTTCCGTTCATCCCGTCCACAGTCATCACCTACAATTCATATCAAATCATATATTTTAAATCAAATATATTTCTATATATCTTACTATCATCATACCTCAACCTTCATTTGACTATAATTGTTTTTACCTCCTTTTATATAAAATATTCCATATTTAAAGCATTCCATTAGCTCTTCCCAATATCATCCAGTAACATTACATCTTTATAACATATTCTAAATAAAAATGGATTATATTTAATAACAGAGTTTCTAAACCTTCTTTTGTAGTCACCATTTGCAATTTATATCAAATATCCTCTTATCAAACCAATACATACATACATACATACATACATACATACATACATACATACATACGCATTGTTGTCATTATCAATCAATTATTTAACCATTATCACTTCATTTTATATATAATGCTCTAAATTTAACTAAATTTGACTTAATTTTTTATTATAAGCTTTCATTACATCAACGTGTCTTTCCAGTAATAGTGCAGTTTTATGTCTCTTGCCATTTGTGGCATTAGTATTCTGGTTATTTCTTTAGAAAATTTTGTATGGACTTCTCTTCACAATTTATTGCTTATTGCATATCTTGTATAAGCTCAAAACCCTCCATCTGCTTCTTCGATCAGCTTATCTTTGGTTATTACTAGTGCTTCTGACAAAATTTTTCTCCTTAGTTCCATCAATTCCTCTCTTCTTCTTCTATACTTTAAAATGTGGGGTAGAGCTCCAGTCCATCTATCTCCCCTTTCCATATTTCACTTTTTCCATTTCCAACCATGCTCAGTTCATTGTCAGTATCAAAAATTTTTTTGCCTCTTTGTTTATTTTTTCCTTCAGTTTTTAGAACTCTGACCTCCACTTTCTTCATTTGATGAACATCCTCAATTTTTCCATCAAATTTTACTATGATCTATGTTCTCCAATCTCTTCTCAATTTTCTCTGTTACTTCTAATAAATTTTGAATTTCAAACATAATCTTTTGCAATGTTAAGATTTCTTTTTCATTCTTCCAACTTGTAAACACTGCCACTCTGGCATTCA